TGAGCACCTCACTGGGCCGGGATGTCTTCGGAGGGGTACGCTTTATGGGCATAGAATGCGATACCCCGCACCTCCACCAAAATGTCACGGGTGGTGACCAAAAACAATAAATAAACAGAAAGAAATAAACGTTTAATGTGGCGAACTTGTGCCAAAAATAAAAGGGGTACAAAGAATAATAACAGAGCGTCGCGGGCGTCGAATTCGGCGAAACCGCAGGATCGAGCGCTGGGGCGAGACTGACTCGACAAGGTCGCGGTCGGCCTCTTATCTAGAGTGCGTCGCTATCTCGAAGATTCGGCGAAAGCGGTTCGAGCGTCGCGTGATCGGGGCGAGAATGAACACGCACTTTCTAGAAAACAAATGCCGAGATAAATGATAGAAGTTACGTGCGGTACATGAATAGACGGGAAATTTCTGGAGGACCGTGACCGAGCGTTGCTTTCTCAGCCTTGCGCGCGGCAATATTAAAAAAAAAAAATTTTAAATATTTGAAAATTTTAACATTTTTGTTATTTTAATAAAGAATATCTAATTGCTCCCGGGACTAAATAGAACTTTTTACCGGCTGCTCAGCAGGTATATAATCTATAAAAAATGTTTAAAACCGCTTAATTAAATATCTCGCAGTAAACAAAAATCCTGAAGTAGCAAAAAAGAGCGTGTTGACGCATAAACAGCCGCTGATTTCACCCTGAGGTGGTTCAAGTAAAAATGCAAAATATAGTGGGTTTGGAAGAACAATCGATAATCTTTTGGTTCTTAAAGTTTAATTAAAGTAATTTTTGCTTAAAGCGAGAAAACAATTTTTGAAGTTGAACTCTCGCACCACACCCCGGCGTCGCTTCTTAACGCCTCTTCGTCGCACAGCACGCCACCTGCATCGATAGCTGACACGATTAGATCGAAAGAAAGAACGGTTTTCTGCCGCTTCCCCTTGTTCGTCTTTCTGGCTGCAAGGGAAGAAACGGCGGGTATCGTAATAATCGGAGGTGCCGCCAGCGCGTAGCAACAGCAGGCTCGTTGTGCCCTTTGTACCCGAGGGCGGTTCTAAACGCGATGCCTAAACGACGGGCGGCATCAAGTGACCAGGACTTCTCCATGCCATGCGAAAGGTCCGTGGCCACCTCCGATTCCTAAAATAGAATTGATGGCTTTTCACCGTAACGTTTGTGGTGCCTCTCTAACATATTTTTTTGACGAAAAACAAATTTCATGGGGTGATGGCGGTTTGAACTAGTAAAAGGGGAGGTGGAACTAGGAGTCCTTCAATAATTGATGAAAAGTAAGTTTTTTTTTACGCAACACTGGAATATTTTTGTCTAAAAACCATACGGTATTTGGATTGCTATGTACTGTAACAGCTCCGGGGCCGTCCTTGTTGTCGGGCTCCGCTGGAGCCAGGCGCCGACCAGGACATCAGGCAGAAGGAGCTCGGAAGCAGGGCCGCTTTTGACAACGGGTTTACTTTACATTTGTACAGGGTCGAAAAAATGAAAGCCGTTCACAAATCCCTGTAACGCCGAATTGGAGCGCAGCTCTTGAGGAGGAGTACGGAAGGGTACTGAGGGGGGTCACGTCACCTGCGGGTAGTCACGTGACCCCCGGGGGGGGGGGGCGTCACGTGACCTGGGGGGGGGGTCACGTGACCTCGGGGGGGGGGGAGGTCACGTGACCTGGGAGTCACCTAACCTTGGGGGGGGTCACGTGACCTCGGGGGGGGGGGGGGGTCACGTGACCTGGGAGTCACGTGACCTTGGGGGGTGTGGTGATTTCGGATCTTAATATAGAAGAAAAAAGAGGACGACGACAAAAAGGAATGCTGATGTGGCTGGTTGACTGTGTGTTTGTGTGCACGGAGAAAATTAGGCGCGGGTGGCGGGTGGTGGAAAAAGGAAGAAGTTGAAGGAAGCCTGGAAGTGACCGAACAGGACAAGCGAGCAGGATCTGGTGGACAAAAAAACCGACCCGCAACGATAGGCGTGGTGGGCACGGCTTCAGTTCGTCGTCCACAGACACAGGCCTGGTCAGCGGGTCTCCGAGGCTGCCCTGTCGCTACTTCAGGCCACACTCTTCAAGCCACCCCGTCGTCCACAACCCAGCCCCAACGCGCCAATCTACCTGGCATCAAGACTTCGGCGAGTCAACCATGATCAGAACTCAGACCCGCTTCACGGACTATGTGAAGTACTCCTCTTTAATTACCCTTGAAGTGTTAGATTTTCCGATAATTAATTTTTTTTTAATTTTCTCATTTTCTAGTGTTTAACGCTTTAATATATTTTTGTACTGGCCCAAAGATGTCGTCTCTTTGTCCATGCTCTTCGCGTCGCACACCCACGCAAGCATGAACGCGGTCCTCTACATATCTGGCGTCCGCGACAGGACCTTGCTCTTAACTGACACCCTAAAGAACTGCACCTTGCGAAACGGTGCGACGGCTGAGAATGGATACCGAGAAATTAATGAAGGTTGGCCAGGAGTTGGGGTTGTCTGGGGCAGCTTTGAAACAATGGATGGATGAAGAGCGAGCGCGCGAGAGGGACCAGCGTACAGCAGAACGCGAGGCTACTAAAGAAGCAGAAGCCCTTGCTCGGGCTCGCTTAGACGCGGATGACCATACTCGTGCGCGCCTAGAAGCAGAACGCGCTCCAATTACGTTCACAGGAGCGACGAGAAAGTGCAGTAGAGGGAATTCCGAACGAGTCTGGTGCGGGTACACCTGCTGGCCTTGTACAGGGGTACCGGAGCCCACACAAGCTTATCCCCGTTTTCAATGAGAAACGCGACGAGCTTGACGCCTACATCCAACGATTCGAGCGGGTGGCAACGTGCCAAGAGTGGCCACAAGATAAATGGTCCTTGTCCCTGAGTCTATGCTTGACAGGGGAGGCATTAAGAGTAGTCGGACGCATGGCTGCTGACGCTGCTACAAACTACACTGTGCTTAAACAGACTCTTCTCCAACGATTTCGGTATACGGAAGAAGGGTACCGCGCCAAGTTCAGAGAGGCAAGACCAGAGGAGGCAGAAACAGGCAGACAGTTTACTGGTCGTCTGTTGGGATATTTTGACCATTGGCAAGAAATGGCCAAAACGGAGCGTACTTACGACGCACTCCGGGACATAATAGTGTCAGAACAGTTTCTCAAGAGATGTCACGAAAAACTGACCATCTTTTTAAGGGAAAGAGGCTGCCAAGGACTTGACAAGTTGGCGGAAGCTGCTGATCATTATCTTCAGGCTCAAGGACTAGTACATCTTGGCAGAACAAATAAGGACCAAGAGGCGAAGCAACTGGGGAAAGCGAAGATTTCTAAACCTCCAGATGCAACGGGGAGACCCGCCTGTTTTCTTTGCAACAAACAAGGTCATCGTGCAGCAGACTGTTGGTCCAAGTCAAGAGGATCCAACTCAAAGTTGACTGTTTGCTGGAAATGTCGCAAAACCGGGCATAAAGCAGAGTCTTGCCCTAACAAGACAGACGCGGATGGGCAAGCATCGTGTTCCCTGGCGCCTCAGAATGAGCGTGGGAAATTAGGTTTGGACAGTCATTCTCTTAAAAGAAATGCGAAAGCTGATGAGGATGAAAGAAGAATCTATGTTCAAACAGATGGCATGCCAACGGCTGAAGGACTGCTTGAACGACACCTGTCATTGTACTGCGTGATTCAGGATGCAACTCGGTCATCGTAAAGCGATCTTTGGTTCCTGATGACAAACTGATAGGAAGGAGTCGATCGATCTATCTTCTCGACCGGACAGTTCGATGCCTACCTGAAGCGGAGGTGGACATCGACTCTCCTTATTTCACGGGCACAGTAAGGGCAACCTGCATGGAAAGACCGCTGTATGATGTCGTCTTGGGCAACATCGATGGCGTATGGGATGCTTCTGCTCTTGATGTCAAGTGGAGAGCAGACCAGAAATTTCTTCCCCTGCAAGAAAAGCCCCAAGAAAAAGACGAAATCTTGGGCAACCAACGAGTTTGGACAGGGACGACCTCCTCACCGAGCTCCGGAGAGCAGAAAGGCGAGCTTCAGGCTAGTGTCGTAACGATGCGGACCTCGGCGACAACTGCTGGGCTACCAGTTGCAGAAATAAATCCACTGGACATCAACCCGGCGGAGCTAAGCGCCAAGCAAAAGCAAGATGCTACACTCCAAAGATGCTTTGTAGCAGTGGGAAGCAAGGTTGCCTCAAGATCAGCCGACATCGACTTCGTGCTGATGAACGGGATTCTTTTTCGACGGTACAGACTTCTATCGCAAAAAGAAATGGAACAACTCGTTGTCCCGACTGGCCTCCGAACATTCGTTCTAAAAATGGCACACGAAGGAATACTATCTGGACATCAACGAATCAAAAGAACGACAGATCGAGTGCTCGAAGAGTTTTACTGGCCAGGGGTACAAGGGGATGTCACGCGGTTTGTGAAATCATGCGACATCTGCCAAAGAACCGTTCCAAAACACTTGGTAGGCCGCGTGCCTTTGGGAAACATGCCCGTGATCGAGACGCCTCTTCAACGGGTAGCAATAGACATCGTGGGACCACTGTCACCAACCTCAGAGAAGGGCAACCGTTACGTACTAACCATGGTGGACTACTCGACCCGCTATCCTGATGCAGTTGCCCTACCAAGTATCGAGACGGAGAGGATTGCGGAAGCTCTCCTCGAGATGTTTTCACGCGTGGGATTTCCTAGAGAAATCATCAGCGATCGGGGCAAATCATTCACATCCGGACTCATGAAGGAGTTTAGTCGTCTCCTCTCGTTTAAGCAGATGCCAACCACGCCGTATCATCCCATGGCCAACGGCCTCGTGGAACGGTGTAATGGCACACTAAAACAAATGATACGACGAATGTGTTAAGAGAGCCCGAAAAGATGGGACCGATACTTGGCACCACTACTATTCGCGTATCGCGAAGTGCCGCAGGCCAGTGTTCGGTTTGCGCCATTTGATCTCCTGTATGGCAGGTACGTCCGAGGACCGATGGCCATATTAAAGGAAATCTGGACAGAAGAGCACCTTGACGAAAACACGAAGACCTCGTACGGCTACATGGTCGAGCTCCGCCAGCGCTTAGAAGACACTTGCCGGATAGCACAGGAGCAGCTCAGAAAGGCGAAGATAGTACAGAAGAAGTACTACGACAAGAAGACGAGAGTGCGCCAGCTAGCTGTTGGAGACAAGGTTCTACTTCTTCTCCCCTCCGAGAACAACAAGCTGATCCTGACCTGGAAGGGCCCCTTCAAGGTTTTGGAGAGAAGAAATGACATCGACTACGTCATTGATCTGGGAACAAGAAGTAGTCTATTCCATATTAACATGCTGACAAAGTACGAAGAGAGACCGGTTTCTAACCAACCACCGCAGCATGCCTCAGTCGCGGTCCAGCACGAGGAAGTAGAGGAAGAGGACATACCTTCTGTGACACTCCACAAGAAGGAAACTCACCAGGATGTGAAAGTCTCGAACGACCTAACAGCCTCTCAACAAGCGCAGGTGTCTATCCTCTTGGCTGCGCACAAGGAAAGCTTCACAGATGTCCCAGGAAAGACCTGCCTGGTGGAGTGCAAACTGAAGACCACCACCGACATTCCTATTCGAGTACAACAATACCCGATATCGTTCGCTATCCAAGAAGCGGTGCAGGAGGAAGTCCAAGAAATGTTACAGCGGGGCATAATTGAACCCTCCGAATCGCCGTACCAATCTCCCATAGTGGTGGTAAAGAAAAAGGATGAATCAATGCGGCTCTGCATTGATTTCTGGCAATTGAACAAGGTCCTCGTCCCCGACAATGAACCCATCCCAAGGGTGGACATGATGTTCGCTATGTTGGGAAGCAGCCGATACTTCTCAAAGTTCGACTTTTCGAAATGTTATTGGCAGGTGCCGATGCACGAAGGATCAAAGCAAATGACAGCTTTCCCTACGGCTTCGGGACTTTTCCAGTCTCGATTTATGCCTTTTGGCATCAAGACTGCACCGGCGGTGTTTACCCGGCTCATGAGGAAGGTGGTCCAAGGCCTGCCAAACATCTACCACTATTTTGACGACGTCCTCATCGCCACAGAAAACTGGGAAGAGCACCTGGAAACACTCAAGTCATTCTTTCAGCGGGTGAGAGATGCTGGTTTGACGATACGGCCAACGAAGAGCGAAGTCGGCTTTGCATCAGTCAAGTTCCTCGGTCACATCATTGGACATAACCTCCTGCGACCGCAAATCGAGACGCTAAAAAAGATTCAAGTTGCCGAGCCACCTGAGACAAAAAAGGGCGTCCGCTCGTTTCTTGGCCTGACAGGCTACTACAGAGATTTCGTTCCGCAATACTCTGAAATTTCACAACCGCTAACGGAGTTGACACGAAAAAGGGCCCCGGACAAAGTGAGTTGGGGGAGAAAGGAACAACACGCTTTTGAGAAACTGAAAGAAGTACTGTCGAGCCGACCCATCTTAAAGGCACCAGACTTTTCTGAATCTTTCGTGCTTAGTACGGATGCGTCATGCACAAGCGTGGGGGCGGTTCTCATGCAGCGGCATAATGGAATACTCCATCCTGTAGCTTACGCGAGTCGTAAACTGCTACCTCGTGAAGCCGGCTATTCAACGATAGAGCGAGAAGGCCTGGCACTGATATGGGCAGTTAAAAAATTTCATGTGTACTTGTACGGGAAACCATTCATTCTGCAAAGTGACCATCAGCCTTTATTGTACATAAACTCCGCAAAGCACACCAACAGTCGTGTGCTACGTTGGAGCTTGACGGTCATGGAGTACGAATTTACAGTCGAATATATCAAGGGCTGTGAAAATGTGGGCGCCGATTATATGAGTCGCATGTCTGTTAAACAAGAATCTCAACTTTATTATTATTCTTTGTAGCGAGGCATTGTGTACAATAGTTAAAACAGTTTTTTTTTCTTATGAGTGTAACGTGCTTATGACAAGGTTGTTGAATCAATTACTTTGCATATGTTGGTGTGTGGGAGAAACCAAAAGTTTGAACGGACGAAGTGCCAAATGTGTAAACTGTAACATAGTTTGTGGACAAGTTTTTTTTATTTTTTTTTTTGTCATGTTGTAGACATTGTTTGATTGAAACAACGCTCTTAAGTGAGGGGTAATTGTGGTGATTTCGGATCTTAATGTAGAAGAAAAAAGAGGACGACGACAAAAAGGAATGCTGATGTGGCTGGTTGACTGTGTGTTTGTGTGCACGGAGAAAATTAGGCGCGAGTGGCGGGTGGTGGAAAAAGGAAGAAGTTGAAGGAAGCCTGGAAGTGACCGAACAGGACAAGCGAGCAGGATCTGGTGGACGAAAAAACCGACCCTCAACGATAGGCGTGGTCGGCACGGCTTCAGTTCGTCGTCCACAAACACAGGCCTGGTCAGCGGGCCTCCGAGGCTGCCCTGTCGCTACTTCAGGCCACACTCTTCAAGCCACCCCGTCGTCCACTACCCAGCCCCAACGCGCCAATCTACCTGGCATCAAGACTTCGGCGTGTCAACCATGATCAGAACTCAGACCCGCTTCACGGACTATGTGAAGTACTCCTCTTTAATTACCCTTGAAGTGTTAGATTTTCCGATAATTAATTTTTTTTTTAATTTTCTCATTTTCTAGTGTTTAACGCTTTAATATATTTTTGTACTGGCCCAAAGATGTCGTCTCTTTGTCCATGCTCTTCGCGTCGCACACCCACGCAAGCGTGAACGCGGTCCTCTACAGGGGGGTCACGTGACCTCGGGGGTCACGTGACCTGGGGGATCACGTGACCTCGGGGGGGTCACGTGACCCCCCCCCCCCCCCCGCCGGTTACACCGACGCCAACGCCGACGGCCACGCCGACGCCGACGCCGCTCAGGCTGGAAACGGGCCCCTAAGAGCTGCGCTCTAAAACAGCATCAGAAGACAGGAGTCCCGAAGAAGTCCGCTTCTTTTAACGGGACGCTCTTCCCTACATTCCCCACGTAGGGATTTCGGCTAGCCATGTCAGCCCCTCCCTCACACACAGCGACACACCCCCGTCTCCGCCCACACACACCACCAACACCATGCAGATTAGCTGTCCCAAAGCCGTGTCCGCTTGTCCCCGAGGGGTCGGCGGGGTCGGCGCGGCGCGCATCCATGATTGCAGCGGCTTCCTCTTCCGAAGGGAAGGTAATTGGGTGCGGGGCGCTCGACTGGAGGGGTCCACCTGGGAAGTTCGGGAAAAAATGCATTGACCTCGTGGGCCACTGTGGGATTCCTGGAAGGCCGAGTGGCTAGTCTTCTTCCCACGTCGGCGGGCCTCTTGAAAGGTCGCAAACCAGCACTCTCGTCTCGCCGCCGCCGCTTGTCCTTGGGCTTTCGGGAGCCCAATGGGTTCTTGGAACGTAGAAATGCCTGGACGTTTTCCCACGTCTGCTGGCTTCTTGGAAGGTCGCTTGGACGCCTGTAGGTCTCCAAGACGGCGTTCGTTACAGTACGAAGGATCATGGTCATGGAATTTGGTATGCTCGAACCAGTTTTAAAAAAATAAGAAATAAATAAACATTTCAGCATATTTTTAGTTTTGTTACAAAATATGGAATTGCTGCATGCAACTGTAAATACTCTTATTGACAGACCTGTAGGTATTAGCGCCGAGATGTTTCGGTGGCGCCCTCTTATGGTTTCCCTCTGTGACGTCACGACTGGGATTTGCCTCGCCGTGACGTCACCAGTGGTTATTCTGGCTACTTACCATCGGGTGCAACGACGAGTTCGATGGTGTGTTTAAAAAGCACAGTAGAAGCTAGGAGCCATCGCAATCCGAAACCAACACCGTCAAAGTTGACAATCTTACAGTGCTCATATGCCCATGGTCTGGCCAATCGTGGAAAGCTGACAACAGCGACGCTTTTGGCCGCGCACATCGCTAATACTGTGTGGTGTTACTGCAATCTAGTTGAGTTTGGACTTGCTAGGGTTAGCCGCATCGCGTTGGCATCAGTCTGTGCCGTGTGTGTTTTTCTTCCTTTTTTGTTTTGGACTCGTTCGATCTGGGATCACCATGTAACGCGCTACTACGAAGCACCGTCTTTTACGGTGGTTGTTATGGATATAAAAGTACAGTTTTTCTATGACATCCAGTCGTTCGCTACCTGAGGAGTGGCCGCTCGGAGGCGCGCCATGGAATCAGAATAGTAAAAGACGGTGAACGCCAAGTGAGCGCGTCGGAACGTTAGGCCTCGCCACCTTGGTTCAGCTCGAACTCGAACGCGGGACGCCGCCACGCAAGCTTGGACGAGATGGACCCTTCGGACGGGGACTCGGCGGCTGGTCACGTGAGTGAGAACGCCATAAAGGATCAACCGCCACAAGACTCGAGACCGCGAAGAAAAAAAACGTTGTCGCAGAAGGCCTTGCTTAACTACGAAGCGAACCGGGACGAGCAACGTCAAAAGCTCGACTGCGTCTGGGAGCGCATCGCAAACGATCTTCGGGAAGTTGAACAGGCTACAAACGCCGAAACGCAGCAAGCGGCGACGGGCCGTATCCGAAAAGAGTACGGTCGTTACCAAGCGCTGTCGGAACGCTACGTGGCCTACTTGTCGGGGATCAACGCGGAACAAAGCCAGCTAGAGCTAGCCCTTCAGAAGACAACGGATCGCGACAGAGCTCGCGCGGTTCAGAAAGCCTTGATGGACACCGGAAAGACGCCCGACCGCGCCACGAAGTCTCGGGACTCGGAACACGCTAACTCGGAGCACTCGTCGAAGTCTGCCGGGCCACGACTTCACGGCTCGAGACGTTCTGGAGGATCGACGCGTTCGGAACACTCGATTGCGACCACGACAAGCACGGCTGCAACGAGGGCACGCGCCGAGGCCGCAGCGGCGCGCACTCGTGCTTCTTTCACCAGAAAGGAAGTGGCCATGAAACTCGAAAGAGCAAGGCTCGAAGAAAAGGAGAAGAGTGCGGCTGCGGCTAACGAGCGCAGAAAAGCAGAACTAGACGCTGAGTTACAGATCCTACAGCTGGAAAGGGAAGCGGCTGCTATGGAAGTTCAAGCAGAAATCCTGCAAGCAGCTGCAGAACAGCACGGCGGGGAGCATCGCTCTGACCGAACCATCTCAGATGTATCAGAAGTCCGTGCTCAGCGCACTGTAGACTATGTGCACAACCAGGCTGCCGTCCACGATGGCTCAAACGAACTGCCTGCTGGGCAGGTTGCCCCAGAATTGAGTGGTGTGCTGAAATACCTGGTCCGTCGAGATTTGGTCAGCACAGGACTCGTCAAGTTTGATGACCACCCCGAGAATTACAGAGTATGGAAAGCCACATTCAAAGTATGGTGCAAACTCTGGAAGTTACGGCAAATGAAGAGTTAGATCTTCTCGTGAACTGGCTGGGCCGTGAGTCTTCGGTCTATGCAAAGAGGCTGCGTTCAGTACATGTCGACAACCCCGCGGCGGGGTTAGAGATAGTCTGGGAAAGACTGGAGGACTGCTACGGGCGACCCGAAGTAATAGAAGATGCGCTCTTCAAGAGGATCGGAAGCTTTCCTAAATTCTCCGACAAAGACACTCACAAACTACGGGAACTGGGAGATCTGCTTCTGGAACTGGAAGCCGCAAAAGCTGATCCCCACTTGACAGGACTCAGCTATTTGGATACGGCAAGAGGGGTGAACCCCATCGCGGAGAAGTTGCCACACCGTCTCCAAGAGATGTGGATCTCGAAAGGCTCAAGGTACAAAGAAGATCATCACATCTCTTTTCCCCCTTTCTCGTTCTTCTCGAAGTTTGTCCGAGACCAGGCCAGGATGCGGAACGACCCGAGCTTTGCTTTTGGCACAACGGGAAGCACCTTTCCGAGGTTCCCAAAGAATGAGAAGGTCACGGCAAGAGAAGGCTTCAGAAACACGCCCGTTTCAGTCCATGCGACCGACGTTACTCCAGAAGCCGTCGACCATTATTCGCCAGCCACAGCCGAGAGGATGGAGGACCCTAACAGACAGTGCCCGCTTCACAAGAAACCTCACCCTCTACGAAAGTGCCGTGTGTTCAGAGAGAAACCACTGCAAGAACGCAAGTCTCTGCTGAAACAATTTGGGATCTGCTTCAGGTGTTGCTCCTCTACAAACCACCTCGCAAGGGACTGTAAAGTTGTGATCAAGTGTGACGACTGTGACAGCACTGAACATACCAGAGCGCTTCACCCGGACAGTTCCAAACCTTTGTCTTCGAGCCTCGGACAGCATCCCGAAGACGACACCATTCATCACGGACTATCACCTGACGTATCTTCCAAGTGCACCGAGGTGTGTGGGGAAGGTTACGGTGGAAGGTCCTGTTCCAAGATTTGTTTGGTGAGTGTGTGTCACTCAAGCACACCTCAAAAGGCTGTGAGAATGTATGCCATCTTGGACGACCAAAGCAATAGGTCACTGGCAAGGACAGAATTCTTCAACCTCTTTGATGTCCAGGGAGAGAGTTCGCCATATACCCTCAAGACATGTGCTGGAACAGCAGAAACGACAGGAAGGAGAGCCTCTGGGTTTCTGGTTGCAAATATTAATGGCAGCGTGAAACTACCTCTCCCAACCCTGATTGAATGCAATCAGATGATCCACAACAGGAACGAGATTCCGACACCAGACGCTGCACGTCATCACCCACATCTAAAGGCTATAGAGAGCCTCATACCTCCATTGGATGCGGAAGCTCAGATTCTGCTTCTACTGGGAAGAGACATCCTGAGAGTCCACAAGGTGCGTCAGCAGTGCAATGGGCCTCCTGATGCGCCCTTCGCTCAACGACTAGACCTAGGATGGGTGATCATAGGAGACGTCTGCCTAGGTCGCACACGCAAGCCGGACTGTGTCACCAACTTCAAGACCAATGTGCTTGAAAATGGACGACCCTCCCTTTTTGAACCATGCCGCAACCATTTTCTCGTCAAGGAGAAATTCACTGGTCCCGTCAATCCAACCCAGCACGTACCACCTACCCAAGGTGTACCCATCAAAGACTACTTTGTCAAAGAAACGACAGACACGTTGTTCCAGACGACGAAGGACGACGACCAACCAGCTCCATCGGTGGAGGACAGAAAATTCCTAAACATCATGAACAATGAAGTCTTCAAAGATGAGTCATGCAGTTGGGTAGCCCCTCTCCCTTTCCGCGTGCCAAGACCTCGGCTTCCTAATAATAAGGAGCTTGCACAGTCTCGTCTTGCATCACTGCGACGCACACTGCAGAAGAGACCAGAGATGAAGGAGCATTTTGCGACATTCATGAACAAGATGTTCAGGAATGGCCACGCAGAAGAAGCCCCACCGCTAGGAGAAGAAGAGGAATGCTGGTATCTTCCAATCTTTGGTGTGTATCACCCACGCAAACCAGGCGAAACCAGGGTCGTGTTCGACTCAAGTGCTCAGTTCAAGGGAACTTCTCTGAACAATGTTCTTCTCACAGGACCAGACTTGACCAACAGCCTGCTGGGCGTCCTGATTCGTTTTAGGAAAGACCTCTTCGCTGTCACAGTGGACATTCAGCAGATGTTCTACTGCTTCCTGGTACGAGAAGACCACCGAAACTACCTGAGGTTCTTGTGGTTTCGCAACAATGACATCCACGACAAAGTGGTGGAATATCGGATGAGGGTGCATGTCTTTGGTAACAGTCCATCACCAGCAGTGGCTACATATGGACTCCGGAAGACAGCACAGGAAGGAGAGGAAGAATTCGGCAAAGACGCCAGGGAGTTCGTCGAAAAGGACTTCTACGTAGACGACGGGTTGAAGTCTCTCCCTACGGCAGATGGTGTCATCGACCTGCTGAAACGCATGCAACAAATGTTGGCAGTTTGTAACCTAAGGCTTCACAAGATAGTATCAAACAGCAGTAGAGTGATGGAAGCTTTCCCCAAGGAGGACCACACAAAAGATCTAAGGGAACTCGACCTGAGTCACGACATTCCACCGATCCAACGCAGTCTTGGAATTTGCTGGGACGTAAAGAAGGACGTCTTCACCTTCAGGGTTCCAGTTCAGGACACACCATTCACCCGGCGTGGTGTCTTGTCAATGGTGAACAGCGTGTACGACCCATTTGGATTCGTGGCTCCAGTTACCATACAAGGGAAGTCTCTCCTACGAGAACTCGTCACAGAAACCTGCGAGTGGGATTCACCACTTCCTGAAAACAAGAGGAAAGAGTGGGAGAACTGGAAGGATTCCCTTCAGGCTTTCGAGCAACTAGAAGTGCCTCGCACTTATGCGGCCGTTTCACTTAGCACGGCTCAGCAGAAGGAAGTGCACATCTTCTCAGACGCCTCGACCAAGGCTGTAGCAGCTGTGGCGTATCTGAGAGCCACAGACTCGGATGGTGCGTGTCATGTCGGCTTTATAATGGGCAAGGCTAAGCTAGCACCACGTCCACAACACACCATTCCAAGGCTCGAACTGTGCGGTGCGGTGCTGGCCGTGGAGCTGGCAGAGCTCATTCAGAAAGAAATAGACACACAACTAGATGTGGTGCATTTCTACACCGACAGCAAGGTGGTTTTGGGCTACATACACAACCAAACAAGAAGATTTTACGTGTATGTCGGCAACAGGGTCGAACGCATCAGAAAATCTACACAACCAGAACAATGGCATTACGTTCGGACCGATGCAAATCCTGCAGATCTTGCTACAAGATTCGTGCCCGCAGCCCGGCTACAGGAGACGGCTTGGCTGACTGGTCCAGAGTTCTTAAATCGTCAAGAAGAGTCTTCATGCGTCTTGCAGAACGAGTTTGAGCTGATAGACCCAAACACTGATGCCGAAATCCGGCCCGAAGCAAGCGTCTCAGCCACCAGTGTGACCACAAATGGACTCGGGACTAATCGTTTCAGTCGTTTTTCAAGCTGGCCTAGACTGATGCGTGCAGTGGCATACCTCATACGTGCTGCTGGCGACTTTCGGTGCCCTTCTCGTGCCGACGAAGCTGACCTGCCACGTGGCTGCCTTCAAGCAGGACAGCTATCTGTCGAGCATTTGTCTCTTGCAAAGAACCTCGTCATTCGCTCCGTCCAACTAGAAGCATATGCAAATGAGCTCGAGTGTTTGTCACAGGGGAAAGGAGTCCAGAAATCAAGTCCACTTTGGAAACTGGATCCTCGTATTGATGACAAGGGCTTGCTGAGAGTCGGTGGTCGCCTCAACAACGCACAGCTGAGTCAAGAGGAGCGGAGACCTCTAATCATACCTGGTAAACACCACGTCGCCTTGCTGCTTGTAAGGTACTACCATGAGCAGATCAAGCACCAAGGTCGACACATTACTGAGGGAGCAATCAGATCCGCAGGTTTCTGGATCATCGGAGCAAAACGCTGCATAGCGTCGTACATACACGGGTGTGTCATGTGCTGCAGACTGCGAGGAAGACAGCTGGACCAGAAGATGGCAGACTTGCCAGTTGATCGACTCAGTACAGAACCTGCATTCACATATGTGGGGGTTGACGTTTTTGGACGATGGAACGTGACTGCACGTCGAACTAGAGGTGGAGAAGCCAGCAGCAAACGCTGGGCTGTGCTGTTTACGTGCATGAGCATTCGGGCGGTCCACATTGAAGTCATAGAGTCCATGGATGCTTCAAGTTTTATTAACGCTCTCAGGAGATTTTTCGCACTCAGAGGACCTGCGAAACAGCTGCGATCCGACTGTGGAACCAATTTTGTCGGAGCATGTTCAGAGCTCAACCTGAGAACTAGTGGTCTCGACAACGACAAAGTACAAGCATTCCTTTCAAGCCAAAATTGCAGTTGGGTGTTCAACCCTCCTCATTCTTCCCACTTTGGAGGAGCTTGGGAGCGGATGATCGGAATCGCACGTCGTATTTTGGATTCCATGTTGTTAGAACACGGACCGAGCCGTCTCAGCCATGAAGTTCTGGTGACATTTTTGGCAGAAGTTTCAGCAATCATAAATGCTAGACCTCTTGTTCCTGTTTCGATGGATCCGGAATGCTGGGACATCTTGTCTCCGTCTACACTCCTTACCCAGAAGGTTGGTGGAGACACGTTACCACCCGGCGAGTTCAACGTCAAGGATCTCTATAGAAGTCAGTGGCGTCAAGTGCAGTGGTTGGCAGACTCCTTTTGGCACCGTTGGCGACGTGAGTTCCTGACAACGCTTCAGAGCCGTCGCAAGTGGCAGGATAGCCGTCGAGACCTCAAGGAAGGTGACATTGTGCTCCTAAGGGACAAACAGGTTCACCGCAACGAGTGGCCTATGGGTGTGATTGTGAACACTTTCCCGAGTGCGGATGGAAAAGTACGGAAAGTCGAGATCAAGACGGCGACCAGAGGAGAACTAAAAATTTTCCGACGGCCAGTCACTGAGACTGTCCTTCTCATCTCAAAAGAAGACTGATCCAAAACTTCAGTGCGTGTCCAGTTTGTGAACTTTGCGTTATGATGTCATAGTGGTATCTCGTGATACCAGACGGGGAGTGTGGTGTTACTGCAATCTAGTTGAGTTTGGACTTGCTAGGGTTAGCCGCATCGCGTTGGCATCAGTCTGTGCCGTGTGTGTTTTTCTTCCTTTTTTGTTTTGGACTCGTTCGATCTGGGATCACCATGTAACGCGCTACTACGAAGCACCGTCTTTTACGGTGGTTGTTATGGATATAAAAGTACAGTTTTTCTATGACATCCAGTCGTTCGCTACCTGAGGAGTGGCCGCTCGGAGGCGCGCCATGGAATCAGAATATACTGTACACAAAAAAGGTTTCAGGCCGTACAACTAAATATCTTGCAGAAAAAAAAAAAAAAAAACTAAATATTGAAAAATTGCGTTTTGCCGTTTAAAGAGCCGTCAATTCTGCCTTGAGGTGGCCCAAAGAAAAATACGTAACATGGTGATCTCTACAAAAAAAAGTTCATTTCCTTTTGTTCTTGAAAGTTTATTCAAAATAATTTTGTTCTAAAGAAGAAAAAACATTTTAAAGTTGAGCTTTCGTGCAGCAACCTGGCTTCGTTCCTTGCGCCTCTTCTCTGCAGCACGCCACCATCGAGCCCGGCAAAGCGTGCGACGGTGTCACGGTGTGCGCACGCCGGTAGACAGCAGGACCTCGAGTTGTCGGGCACATCTTAGTGGGAAGAGGCATTTTTCTACTCTTGTTGCTTTATGGCTTTTCCTGTTTTGGCCGTTTTGCGCGGCTGTGTTCCCCTGTCGTCTTCCACTGTCTTGATATCGGCAAATGCTTAGCACTTCCAGATAAGAGCATCCACTGGTAAGCTAGCTGTTTCTTACGTACACATCGCAATCACTCTCTCTTCTCGACGTCAGGACAGATGTAGACAGCAACACAAAAGCCCCATGAACGCGCAATCTCATACGACGAGGCGATGTGGTGTTAACGAATGCGCTCAGTTTGAGGCTCACACCTCGTTTGTGTTTAAATCGGCTTTAAAACGGCAAATTCTTGCGTCGCTGAATAGTTTCGCTTTACACCGCAGTATGCGTGACAGCTAGATTTCGCGGCGATATTATCGCGTTGCCCTTTTAGGAGAAGTGGACGTCAGCTGATGCCGCCCGTATTAGGCACTGCGCTTCGAGCCGCCCTCGGGTACAAAGGGTCAAAGTCAAATTTGGGGGTTTTACGTGCTAAACTTACGACGGGCATCTGGCACGCCCCAGCGGAAGACTGAGGATTAATTTCGACTACCTGGGGATCTTTTGACGTGCAACCGAAAGCTCGGTTACACGGCGCCTCTTCCACATTAAGCGTCCGTCAGATTGCGGGTACCTCCTCGGGTACAAAGGGCACAACGGGCCTGCTATCGCTACGCGCTGGCGGCCCCTCCGATTATTACACGATACCCGCCGTTTGTTCCCTTGCAGCCGGAAAGACGGACAAGGGGAAGCGGCAGAAAACTCCGTTCTTTCTTTGGACTTAATCGTGTCAGCTATCGTCACAGTTGGCGTGCTGTGCGGCGAAGAGGTGCTGAGAAGCGACGCCGGATTGTGGTGCGAGAGTTCGAATTCAAAAATTGTCTTCTCGCTTTAAACATAAATTACTTTGATTAAACCTCAGGGTGAAATAAACGGCTGTTTATGCGTCAGAACGCATTTTTTTGCAACTTGAAGAATTTTGTTTACGGCGAGATATTTAATTAAGCGGTTTGAAACATTTTTTTATAGATTATATACCTGCAGGGGCAGCCGGTAAAAAGTTCTATTAAGTCCCGGGAGCAATTAGATATTTTTTAATAAAATAACAAAACTGCTAAAAGTTTCAGAAAAATTTAAAGAAAAAATTAAATTAAACAAAACTTTACAAGCCCAACCACAGTGTAAGTCGAAAACCGTGCAAATTTAAGAAAAAAAAATATTCTTGGGTGTTTCACTCAAAAGCTGATTTTTCATCAAATATTGAGTGATGCCTAGTTTCACGCTGTTTTTAAAAGTTAAAACCGCGCTCACGTCATCAAAAATATTTTCACCAAAACTATTTCAGGGCATGGCTACGGACATTGCGGGAAAAGGCCTTGAATTCTTTTTTTAGAAATCGGAAGGGGCCGAGCGCAACGTCTGGGACGTTTGACATGGAATGCCCCAGGTACGACAGAGTCCGCTATATTTTCAAACCTTCGTTCCGAAAATCAGGGTTTTAGACTTTCTACGCTCGTGCGCTAGTCTTACTTTGACGCATTCAACAATACGGGATAAATAAATTCCCCATTTTGTCCCGGCCGAAAATTAATTTCAAGGTCCGTTTAACGTTTCTGTGCAGTGCAATAACGCATCTACCGTGTAAAATTTACTGGATCAAATAAGCTCAGGTTCTGCCCAACTATCTGGGGAGCCTTGACTGACAAATCAAACACCTCGACAAAACTGGTTTCTTTTTTTTTCTTTTTGGAAAGTGAAACTATACGTATGAGCTTTGAATGTTGCCACCTTTTTATAGGATCACATATTTCTTTGTTGTATCAACTTGTTTAATTTATACACCGAACACAAACAGCCTTGTAGAGGAATTTAGTGGCGCACGACTCTTTACATGTTACTTTTATCGTTAGCGCTCTCTCTAACAATGGAAAACAATAAGTGGAATGTGTAGCTCAAGTGCTCTCCGAGGCTGTGTATGTTTACTTTCTAAAAAAGCTGACACGACACAGAAATGTAGGACCTTCTCTCTCACTAAAGGCCAAAGAAAATATTTCGTACCCAGAGGCATGGAAAAGATATTCTTTTAAGGGAGACAACATTGCTTCATGAGGCGTATCAACGCCTATAAAAAGGTGCAACAACACCTATCAAAAGATGTGAGTTATAGACATTGAATAAAGCACCGATTACACCTTTATAGGTGTTTTGAAATTTACTGTGTAGCACGCAGCAACGCCAAGACGGACGCGTCAGCCTCTTTGCGGCGACCCTCGTCGAGTTTCAGCGTATTTGGTGCTTGGGGCACCTAGGTGTACCACAAGCGACGACGTCATACGCAGTCCTCGTGCGGCTCCCTAGTAATACGTACAGGCGTCCCTTCCCCCATGGGGGTATGAAGAAGAGGAGGCGACATACCTGCTCAAGCCAGCCTGACGAGACAATCCCAAATGAAACCGAAAGTAGAGGTCGCGGTCGGAGGGATCGCCCCCAAGGGTGACCAACAAACAGCCCTTGTTGCCCAATTGGCTTTCGCTTTCGTCCAATATCGTGCCCTCCCCCTTTCCAAGATCAGATGGAAAGACACATAAAACAAAAGACAGCTTGCGTTCTAGCACCCGTGTACTTCCGGGCCATTGGGATAAAGGGCGTCAAGTTAAGGGCCAGCGATTGCTTCAACACCATTGCACTTTTTCTTAGCGGATCAGGAAGCGTTTTGCCTGTCGTTAATACCATTGTGGAGGATTATGATTGACCCCTAGTTACGAGAATAGAGGCTTCCGCTATTCATGTACTAAAATTTAAAAAAAAAAAACTCTTTTCGATGAGAAATTGAGGCATGAGTGGGATTCGCTTTGTACAAAAAATGGCATTCATAATAAAAAAAAAAAAGAAGAAAAGAAACTGGGTTCGGTCATTTCGTTGAACGCCGTTTCGTCGAACACCATTTCATCGAAGACGTTTCATAAAACGCCGTTTCATTGAACGCCATTTCATCGAACACCATTTCATCGAAGCCGTTTCATCGAACACCGCCTACATGAGCAGACGGAATTCTACATCTAGGAAATAGTATTTTTAGCACCGGGCGGATAGCTGTATAACTTACAAATTTAGAAATGAAAGAAACTTTTTTTTTCTCCTATTTCCATTCTTTTTCTAGTAAATGATGACTTCTGTTGTTAATATGGCCAATAAGAAACGGGAACACTGAAGACACTTCTAAAACCTGTAATCATCGGGTGCATGGTGAACGCACGTTCGTTCAAGGGCGTAACTTCGTCGTTGGAGAGACATCAAAGGGGCATATGACATTGTGAATCAGGATAAACTCCGGAACCAAGTGAAGGGATATGGGCTAGGGGGAACCATGGTTAAGTTTCTAGAACGGGTTTATACGGAGAATAGGGTTGTTATAACATGGGACGCCGAAACTACAAGACCAGCAGCAGTAAAAAGAGGACTTAGACAGGGTTGCCCATTGTCTCTCCTGCTCTTTATGATATACCTCAGTGAGATGAAAAAAAGGTTAGAGCAGTGCAACCTCGGTTTTGACCTGACTTACATGGAGGAAGGACATAAAGTAAATCAAGTATTGCCGGGGTTAATGTATGCAGACGATATTGTACTCGTATCAAAAAGTCGTGAGACAATACAGGAACTGATTAAGATTTGCAGCAGGGAAGGGGACAATGGACCTTTTGCAGAAACATCGGTTCGAGAGTAGTTGCTTCCAGTACCCTCTCTCTCTTCCTTCTGGCCGAGCAGAGAGGGAAGATGGTTTCGTTGTGTCGACTTCGGGGCGGAAGATTACGCACGATGGGGACAAAGGCGAGTTTGGGGGAGCCGTATCTAGGTCACAGCGTCTCAATGGGTGAACAGGATGTCGCTGACGTTTTGGGTGCGCAACGGGTGGGAGAGGCCTCGCGCGTGCGTTGTTTTCTCGCCACTTAGCCTCGACTCCAGTCGCGTGTCAAGGTGGCAGCACATATTAGCCAAGAGGTCCATTGAGGACTAAAATTTAGTAGGGACAAGTCGGGTATACGTTTTCAACGACGAGATGGAGGAACCCCGGGAGATACAGGACACATTGATAGAACACGTAGAAAAGTACAGATATCTGGAAGTATGGTTAAAGGCGGACCAGCAGAAATATTCTTGCGCCTGGCGGAAATTCCTCCTCGCCCTCTTTCTTTCGTGTATTGTAGCACGGCGAGGCGAGGGGAAAGGTCCCCTTTTGCGCCGGCTTCTTCTGAGAG